TTAAATCTTGTTCTCTTCACTCCTTATCTTATTAGTACAGATGATTGACCTGCAGTTGTTGCCCAAAGGAATTGAATAATCAAAACCAAAAGCCTTCATACCATTGATAATTTGTATTGATTTGCTTCACAATCATATTGACTAATATCGTTTTTCTTGTTCTCCAGACATACTGAATACAGTATTCAAAAGTATACTTTATTGTAGCCGATGACAAAATTACCTCAAGAATAAGCATTTGAATAATTGTTTACCGTATAAAACAATTAATTATTAATTTCTCACCAGGTTAATATTTTATTTAGCGACCTACAAATTAATGTTCATGTCTCAATTATACTGAAGAGAGCGAGAACAAAAAATTGATCAGCTGCTCCCTACAAGATAATGAAAGGGACTAAATGTATAAATTTTATTTATGTTACAGAAAAGCTTAAAGTCTGAGAAGAATCATAATAAACGTATATATTGCCGAAACTAGAAACAAAGAATTTACCATTCATTTCAATAAAGCATACAATATCTAAGATATTTTATTTTCATGTTCATAACATGTACTAAGTTATATCATTTTTCGTTCAAATCGACCTTTGATCTAAAGTTTTCAAGTGTACGTTTGGAATATCATATTGTAGCCAGTTTCACATTAGGACTTATATTCTATTGGATAGAAGGTGTATGGCTTATTCATTCAGCCCGTACTTTGTTGATACTGTAAAATGTTGTGACAGATTAAGTCTGCATGATGACTTAGTGGAGAGAGAAACTGTATGTAAGTTGACCTAGAGAAACCATTTGATAACTATGAATTCTAGCTAATCCTGACTGACAAAATGATTAAAGACATGCATTCAAACACTTTAATGACGCCTAGATTCAGAACTTTCTCCTTGTTGTGAAAATAACTACACTATTAAACAATCCTGTTTCCTAATTACGCCTTACCTTTTAGAAGATCAATATCAGATACTTTCTTAGTAAGTAACACTACCTTAACAGTATTGGCAATTCATCTCACAGATATAAATTTATGTTCTAGATATTATAACATATATATACTTATAACTTTGAAGTACAATAATTGACACGCTCTTAATCTAACTGGAAATTTATTTTTGTGAGTAACTAATACATCATAATATAAATCGTTAATTTAAAGACCAAGGTTCTAGAGACAAATTTTCAAAGTTATTTTAAAGTTTGCTGTTGTGCAAGAATTAAATTGAATTAAATTTCCCTGTCTGCATATACTTAATGTACATTGGAAACGTTCTCATTTTATCCTCTGCTTTAGACCACTTCCTCTTAAGTTGTACCAAGAATTCGTGTATCGAATTTCTTTTATCTAACCATCATATTTATTTTTCTACTTATTACACACTGAAAACCAATATTTCTATGATTAAGTAATCAGGTTGCACAAGATTTATCCACTTATTCTGACTTAAAAACGATTATAACAATGTTTTCATCACACATCAAGAAGGATTGAGGGGTAAGTTATTCCTGAACAGTACAGAATCACTCAATAAACAGGATTCAATTAATATAATTGAGATCTTTTGATAAATATGAGACATATTAGTTGTTGAATACAAATATTCAAACATTCAAATTTTCAGCAAAACGTTAACGTTACTGAAACATGCATTTCAAAATATGCAAAACTACCAACATGATCAGTATTCAGTACAGCTTAGTTTATAAACAGAAAGTTTTGGATAAAAAGTTTAATTTTTTAAGGATAATTGGCTTTATTAAATTCAATAAAAAAATCATTCAGCTCAGTATAATTAAATGTATCCACATTGTTATCCACAGGATAAAAAGAATTCTACTTTAAAAAAAAGATCCATTGACAGACAGCTTAAGCATTTTCGATGTTTACAACGAGTAATAAACTGGTGTTTCTGAAAACATGAACATATTTTTTAACATATCTAACCAAACTATGAAAGTAAAAAATTTAAAATATTTATTTTTGTTATTCTGTAAGGAACTTCAATAGCAACCTTTAGTAAATGCGAGCTAATATTAGTTACTTCATCATCAACGGTAAAAAAGGTTGCAGAAATTATGATTTCAGCAGTAACTTCGGCTTTTCACTTTGAAAAAAAAAACTATAGAATAACTGATCACATATATCGGTCAAAAATAATAAACAGTGTTATTCAACTTTCTTGGAAAGGAAAAACAATTATACCAATCAATTATTTTAACTCTTTCAACAACTCATAACCAGTAGGAGGTGTCAATTATATCCTACTGTCTAATTTTTAGTAACATGAGATTTATTCATACAAATTACATATCGGTGCAAAGTGTTTTGATGACTATTTGCATGAACGATTTCATAAGCTTCTAAAAATACAAACTATAAAAAACTGAATAAAACAAAATTGAATATATTTTCCTAATCTTTGCTGCTTCAGTATTTATTCCTTCAATAAATTTATTCCTATTTGTCAACGGAAGTTAACCATTAAAATTGCACGAAAGAATAAACAGTTTGGAATAAATAAAACTCTTGAGAATCAGTGCTCTATTCAAATATTACACTTGTAATGTTTTTATTCAAATTGAGAAAACAATGCATTAGTTGCCGCCTTTAGAAAAAGGTTTAGAAAGTCAATAAAACAATTAATCTTTTAGTTAACTTAAACAAATAATTTTCTATCATACAATCATATCCAACTAACTTGAAATTTCTTGAATAATAATAATAATAATAATAATAATTACAAACACTACAACTATGCATATACATACACTCATTATTCTTTTTCTAACGGAAAACTAATAGTTGAATATTGAATGTTGGTTTTGTAAACAATGTCAAAGTAACATAACAATAAGTATGTTATGTTAACCGACGGAAAGACATAAAAGTTCATTGCTTTTCTTTTTTATATGAAAAACATTATTGCATAGAACATTTTCCCTGGTAGAATACGCACTTACTAACCGTCTTACCCATTGTTACTAATGAAACCCAGAAGAAGAAAAAAAGTCGAGTTCAATTATTTCTGTGACAGACAGTCTTTACAAGACATCTGAATTCAAATGCAAGTGAATCTCAGTTGTGTCTGTTGACTTAGTCTAATCATTCACTTAAGCATTACATAGTTCAACTGGAATAAACAAGTTATATTATGAATCGTCATTTTAAATAATTTCATTACAAGTTCATACAATTTATCTAATCAATATTAAAGGACTATCAAATTTACAATGATTCAATTCAAGTAGTCAACTGTGATAATAACATTAGTATTTATCATTTAGTTTCTAACAATAAAACAGTACAATCAACTGTATTTTGTATGTTAATTTTTGACGATTAATCTACATTACTTAACCATACTGATCATTTGTTTTAATTTACTTTCAATTGTATATTTGGGTAGAAATTGAAAACCTGAAGTCAGACGACATTTTCGAAAAAAATTCTTGAAACACACATTTAAACCCAACATTAGTCGAATCAGAAACTGACCTTAAAACGTTCACCTTGAATAGTTTTTGCCGATAGGAGCCTTTTCAATAATAAGCTAATCTTTTTAATTCACTATACTACTTATGATGGCATTGACAAATGTGTTAACTGTCTCATTGTTATCCCTAGTACACTTGAAAGTGCAATTTATGTCACTATCATTTTAGAGAACATTTTTCTCGTTCACTTTTAAAATTATCATTTGATCATGTTTATCAGTAAATAAAATAGAATAATTATTTAGAATGAACCGAATTAATATCATACCACTCAATGCCACTAGAATGAAATTAAAATTATGAATTTTCATGTTTACTGGCTTGGTTTATTGAATCTCACTAACTCTGTATGACCAACTTGAATGCAGTTTCAAAATCAGATACACACCCCTAATAGAGAAACAACTATACTCATCAGTTCTCTTTTTTTACTCATTTCAATCCAAATTCATGATCAAATTGAGTGTACTAACGTTTATTTTGTTTATTCGTTGATACTACTGTAATTTATCGTGCACATGACTACTGGAAAACATTTCTCTGAAAAATGGTTTTCAAATGCTCAAAATTTTATTTGATAATGAAAAAGTTAGTTAAATCGTCTGTTTTCAACTTCCTATCGAATATAAACATAGTTTTTAACACAATATGGAACTGTGACAAAAAGTTATGAGTAAATTAGACTAAACCATTTGTAGGCTTATTCAAACAAGTAATTAATACTATTTTAGTCTGTCAGCAAATCAAACAGTTTATCTAATTTAAACAAAACCAGTAACAGAAATTATCGGTTACATAAATAGAAACTGTCACATTAACAAGCTAAACTTCCAATACACAATGAATATTACTGGATACTGATTAAAATCGCTTATTTAGTAGTAAATAAGTTTTATTAATGAACGATGAGTTGGAAAAGTGTTAACTTTAAAATGTAGTTTGGTGCATGAATGACTTTAGGATTTAAAGACACATTCAACAATCATCAAGCGTATGACAAAGTTAAAACTGTCACCAAATGAAAAACTGCTTTATCAATATGTCAACTAATAAAAGCGTTGTCACCCATAGAAATCTAAATCAAAACGAAAACCAAGCTTTGATGGAAATTCATTAGAGAAACGCCAGAAATGAGTCTTTTCCACTGTATTAAGGTTTGCCCTCAATCCACACATTATTGATCGTACACTCAGGGATTCTTCTTTCATGTGTACTGACTGTACCAACAGTATACGCTATCTCGATATGGCCAGAAATTTGTTGTTTATAGTTTTGAAGTTCACCCAAATCACATCAAATAAATTTTAGAGCCGAATGAGAAACAATTTATAAGCGCACAAATATTCACTTAAAAATTGATGTTTGATTACATTCGAGATAACTCATTATTCATGATTTCATTTTAAGCAGAAATCGTATTCATCAAAACTATTCTGCATTGACATAACATTTATAAACCGAAAAAATGTTATTTATTCACAAAATGGCGTTACATTTATGTTGTTCTACGTCAAATGATTCAATTTACTTTGTTCAATTATACAAAATTCAAAAAGAGGCTGATAAACAATTATAAAGATTGAAAAAAAACTTACATTATTATTTAAACAATTGTCAATTTGTTTAGTTGCATAAATATCCAATAATTGTTGACTATTTGTCTCATCATGTTCATTCTTGCTACCAGACCGATCATACTCTGTCAGTTGATAATTATTATTCCGTGACTCTCTTGTGATCTCATCTTTTTCATCATTTTGTTTAATTAATAATTTCTTTGCATGCTTTTTCACTTCAACTGAAGGTAACAAGTCAGTTGAACTTAATGAATCCAATGATTCTAAAGATGATGTTTCTGATGACATGGACGAGTGTAAATTATAAATCCTGTTCGGTATTCTACTTGACTCATGACGTGTTGTTTTTTGTTTAAATCGTGAATTACGAAATACTGGGGAATATTTAGGACTTAGCAGATTATAAACTAAATTAGTTGCAAAGTGTATAGATGATGTTGTACTGGTACGTCTTGTACTTCTATTATTGTTGTTATCAGTGTCATATGTAGTGGATAATTTTGTATCTGTCTCATTAGATGTTTCATTGCTTAGACTTCGATAACCTCGTGAACGACGCGTAGTTTTTAAAATGCTCGGTGAATTCATTGTTTAGGTAAAATCCACTGTTATTGAATAGATTATTTTTCACAAAATAATTATTAATTAGTTTATTTGTCTAATGATGAAATAAATATTTATTGAATTATTTTAATGACACTTTCAAAATGACGTTATAAAGGAATTGAAAAAGTGTATTTTTGATTGGTTCATACTAGACTAAATTTTATTGGCTGATTGGTTAAGTTTAATAATTCGTCACCTATAAGATATTGTGTAATTATTATTAATAATAATAATATCGTTCATTAGAATATAATTATTTCGTTTTCAAGAGTTGTACACAATTATGTATGTCTGTATAATTGACAAAAATATGTAAACTTTTTGTTAGTGAACCGATAACTAATACAAAGCCCAATGATTATGAGTTTTTTTTTGGTAGGAAATTTCATTATTCAGAAAAGTGGCAGACCAAAGAACACATTACATTGAGAATTAAAAACTGAGGTCAAATGGCTGAACAGCAGTTGGATAGGTCTAGATAGGAGGGCCAAGGATAGACTAAGTTAAAGAATGCTGGTCGACCGCCCTTTGGTTCATTAGGCGTTACTGGCGTAACTAAAAGTAGGGTTTATTTGAATCGATTCACCAAACTGTAATTCTATCCTTCAGTAAATATTTGATTAAACGTATTTATTCATATTTTTCGTACAATGGTACTATGGAATCAATCAGTATTGTGCATCGGTAATGAGATCAAACATTTCCATTATTTTTGTAGTATATGATAGAGGACGTGTTTTGTTTTATGCGCTCTTTTTTGTTTTAATGACATCACAATACTTATTGTTTTATTCTGATGTGTTTTGAATATTAGCGATTATATTTTCAGTTGAGTTGAACGAGTTGAAAGAAAAAAATGATAGGAACTGATTTTAACACGGCAAATCAAAACTCTCACCAATTGAAAAAGTCATTTATCAGGAAACAAAATTAATAGTGACGTTAGTTTATCTGTTGATTTCAGTTTGATAACTAACAAAAGAGTAGTAGTCAATAGCAATCTCAATAAAAACGAACATCGAGCTTTCATGAACGATCTGCCATAATGCTCTAAGCTCAAAATTGACTTCGAATTAGTGTTTCAGTGATTTAGACTGTTAGTTATCAAGTGATTTCTTTTCTCGCTTCTTAAGTTCTATAAAGCTTTATTCTCATGTCGGCTACTTAATTCATTTCTTCGGAGATGAGTAGTAAAATAATATGACTGAATACTGTGAAGCTGTTTCTCAGGGTATCAAAATTTCTTTTATTCTCACACTATGATGTCCCTAGATGTACTGATCACTTGCTTCTCTTCAGCTCACTGGCCGTGGAAACTCAGGAAAGTTTATGTCTTATGCCGAGTGTTCTTTTAAAGTAAAATGAAGTAGCCTACTGCAACAAGTTCATCAAAATTAGTTTCAAACTATTTCAAACACGTTCAAAATCATCTGAAACAAATAATCCCGTCGCTTTGTTCATATGCATCATGGATATGAAGTAGAACATCATTTTAAAACATTAACCCATCATACAAAACTTTTTACGTGATTCAGCTCTGATCAGTTTCGTGTTACAACTATTTTGGCTAATGTTTTTTTCGCCGGAAATTATATTTGTGTTATGAATTGCACGTAACCATATCATTTTAGATGCTTGAACTATTACAAGTTTACCTCAGTCAGTAAACGAGAGCGAGTATCGAGGATCCGGCGACACAACATGCTACTCTAATCCGAGTGTCCCGACCCCCATTGAGCAAAAGAAGAAGACTCGATATGAAGTAGAACTTGTATTCTACAAGCATCCAGAATGTACGAGGTCCAATTCCATAAGAGAACCAGGATCCCGGACTAGGGATCCGGGGTCATAAACGTTACAGATTATGCGTATTTATACAGTTTGGTAGATTAGGAAACAACATCTGAAGTATGTGACAATGATAGTTAGGGAGACCATAATATTGACCAGTAGGAATTTACCAATAATATTTGATGAATATCCTAACAGTTTGTGACTAAGTTTTCCCTATTTCCAATAAATCCTTTTTTCTATTTCAATTATTGCTTTTTTAAAAAATTACTCCTTGACTAAAATAATTATTGTCTTCAGCATAAACAAACATTTATTCCAATATTTTTGTGAATAGATCTTGTTGACTGAATGTCACTTCAAGTAATTACCACTATTCAACTTAAATATCTTGGCACTTAATTTTATTTAATAATTATTTCGCGTTTAATTTGATCGCTTTTAATTTGTTTTTAGAATTTAACACTTTTAGTTACAAAAGGAAAGTTCTAGCAAAATTAACTGATGCACACACACACACACACACACTAACGACAGAACAAATTTTGAATTGTAGGAATACTAGGTGTAATGAACGTCTTTGTAATCTGAAAAAAAAAACTAAAGTAAAAACACCAATGATTGTTTCTTACTCTAAGTGAGATCATGAAAAGTAAACACACTTTAAAATAAATATTAACCATCATCTCAGAAAGCAAACATTTGCAGAGTATAACTAACATAATCTGAATAAATTGTAGCATACTGTAAATAGGAAAAGAATATATCTGAAAACTCACAAAATCATTCTATATGATGATATATCAAACTGGCAGTTTTTTACCGATAAAAATAAAATATAAACAGTGTGCATCAAACCAAGTTCGGTCCATCAAAAATAGTTGTTGAATTGTTTTTCATTTGAACTAAATCGATTCTATTAATCGGAGTATCAACTTACAGACGCTTTACCATGAAGCCTGACAGTTTAAAAGTTTGTTTATACTACCCAAAACGTGGCTTTCAAGTAGTATGCAACGTAGCTTCCACCACGAGTTACTGTAGAAGAGACGAGTGCCGAATTCGGTTGTATAGCGCAATCAGAGTGTTTTGAGGACTAGAAGACATGTGAAACATGATGGCAGGTAATCCGGTTGTTTTACAAATGTAAGTTCCCAAGATAACATAGGTAAGATTTTCTAGTAAACTGTGTCCTACTACATTGTTCATTACAATTAGCGCAACTTCTCTTCCATACAATATATTGACTGTCCTGAGCAAGAACAATCCAACAATTGCATCTTATTATATCACAAATTTGAAATCATCAATCAGTCATTGTTAGACAACCGTTAGAAACCTGGAAGCAGTGGACGGCAGTTTCGTATTGGTATGGGATTCCTCAGTAGTGCGCATCCATAACTCCTGCACCTCGCAGGATTCAAACCCGGGACCTTCGAACTTGTACGCGAATGCCTAACCTCTGGACCACCAGGCCGGCATTCAACGGTGTTCACGTCTAACTCTGATTGATCTAGGGATTTTGCGCGACCTCACCCATTTGTCTTCGGCAGTTATTGCCTACAATCGACAGGGTTGGACTCCACTGGTCACGTCTTCTCACTAGACCTCCGAGAATTTCCTCCAGAAGCTAGTCACTAGTGAGCACATTTTACGATTTTTTTCAATTAGATTTATGGAGATTAGTGTTTTTACACATTTGAAATCATCAATCAATCATTGTTAGACCACCATTAGAAACCTGGAAGCACTGCTGATGAGCCCCATACCAGGACGAAATAGCGGTACAGTGCTTCTAGGTTTATAATGGTGGTCTAACAATCATTGATTGATGATTTCAAATGTGTAAAAGCACTAATCTCCATAACTCCAGTTGAAAATATCTTATTATATTGTTTATGATTTTAATCTAAACCGGTGTAAGCCAGTATCCAAGTTCACTAAGCAACGATATAATAAATTGACGAAGAAAAATTCAAACAACAAGAAAACCAACTTGAATTATGGTTACTTGTCATTTCCAGACATTTGAAATATATGATGATTATGTAAATTCGTTAGTTAATATATCATTTCACAAAATTTTATGAAAGTTCATTTGAATTATAAATCTCAACAAAAATTCACGTTTACAATTAATGAAGAAACTAATGAAAATAGATTTTTTTTTAAAAAAATCATTTCCCTTAAAGTTGTAATAAAAGTTATATAAATATATTTTCCTAATTTAAGTAATATTATAACCATGACTTCAAAAAAATGCAAAAAGAACTGAACTCTTTATAATAGAGAAAATACATGTCCTCGAAGAATTAAATTGATGAATTTTTCTCACAACTCGTAATCTAACCGACTGTCTAATATATTTTTTTTCACTGCAGATTTTATCACAATATTAGTTATGTCGTTATTGATAGATTTTTCGACTTAATATCGATGATATTGCACAGATCTTAAATTTATGCGCTGATGAGAGACTTCTTGAATTTTTCATCCTCTAATGACTTACATTGTAGATAAACAATCCTCAAGTAAAAAATTGTGAAATATGTTGATCCGTCACATAATCATGTTCATTTTACACTTTTCTAATATACCATGTAACGACAATATTGACATTCGGACACTAAATCTAAATTCAAATCAGTCTAGTAAATCACTACATTCAGTGAAAGGAGCTATCAGTTAATTTAATGAACAGTAGCGATCGCTTCAAAAAAGTAAGAATTCTTAATTGAGAATCGACCTTAGCTGACTACTAATTCAAAGCAAGAGAGTACTGTACGGCTGTTTTGTTCCAATTTCACACTCCCGATTGGTGAGCCTTCTAAATCACTTGAGAAATTCGTCCCTAAAGTATTATCCTTACATCAATGAATCAGGACTTGTTTGTCCTCATTTCTAATTTTAATGAGTTCATAACTTGACGTAACCATCATCCGAAATCTGAAGCATCTCTCTTCTAAAGATAGATAGATAGATAGATATCTGTCGAATAATTGATGCTCTCGATAAAACATACTAAACAGCATAACCTAAACAATATGAGTATGTCGATAGTCTTGATGAGTGGCAGCTTCAAATCATCCAAAACTTTAAGTTAAAATGAATGTTTCAGTTCTTTTTTCTTGCTTCTATTGTTTGTGTTTGTTTTTCTTGTACGTTTTGTTTTCTGTTTTGTTATATTTTTT